GACGCTCTTTGTCACTCATAATACAGCAACAAGTCAACGACATTGAAAGTAGAAAAAATGTTATAGCCCTTATATAGATCAATATTGTAGGTACTAATATTTATTTTCTTAACAATCCTGAGTGGGCCGCCAGATCAAAATTGGAAATTCCCACGAGCACCTACAAGAAAATCTCATTATTAAGTCAGATCCACACTAAGCCACCTTCCTTGACAAATGAGAGTCTAATGAAAATTTCGATAGGCTTTCTGGAGCTTTGTTTGTGTGGGCACTGAAAATTTCGATGCATTAGACTCTCATTTGTTGTTGAGAGCTTTTGTGTTTGGTACTCCGGGTCAAATTTTGGAATGCTGATCTAATTGTAGATCAGACATCTAATTGTAGATCAGACAATATCAATATATTTTGCCCTCATTTTGTGACGATATTTTAATTTGAGGTTTGAGGTTCCTCATAGGCACAAGCCCCTATGGGTTAATTACCTCTCCTAAAAATAGGAGAGCATTTTCAGTTAATACTAGTCATTATACTGTGAATATTCAGCATATAATAACAACAAACTTAGTGTTTAGATTATAAATTTATCGCATTTAGCTTAAAGCGAATGGTGGAGGAAATAATAACGAACTCGATCAATATCTCATGATTTTGTCATCCCGAGTTGTGGTGATACTTGATCTACTTAATGAGACAAGATAGTCAACCCAGCCTAACTAAAGAATCCTTCTCATTAACTATGGGTTGGGTCGTCTAAGGGACCCTTATAGATCTAGAGTAAATGTTTGTCTAAAAACACAAATTTAATTCGACCTTAGAAGACAGAAGATTTTGTGTCAATCAAAAGAACCCTAATATTCACAACTAAAATGGTAGAAAACTATTGGGAAACATATTGGTTGCGGTCATAACTGTGATATGGTGATGTCATTTGACGACAACAACATGGTTAGAGAGATCTGATCGTAACCGCTATTTTTTATGAAGCATTTGGGTGGTCAAACCACGTGAACAAAGAACTCTTGTCACATTCTTACTGTCGTGAGATTGCTTTGAGTGTGAATATAGTGATAAACCTGATGTGACATTCAATCTTAATGAACTGAAGTCAATTAAAACTCGATCATCCTAGACAAACTATTGCAAATGATAGATTACTTTTGTTTTAAGCTTTAAGTGAGTGATATTAAGTTGAATATTTTAATTTATTATTTTAAAAACTATTAGTCAATACGACCAGCATTGAGAATTTGATTGCTTAATTTGAACCCTATCAACTTTATAACTTGCCTGAAAACTAGTTTAATATTGACATAAGATTGAACATGAAAAGTAAATGCTAGAGTTTAGAAACGAAAAACCCCGATAGATACATCCTTTGAAATACTTCCACCAGACTTTCTTTCATTCTCCATAAAGTAACTGATTAATGCTAACAATTTATAAGAGAATACTCTCACAAGTTGCCCTTCGAAATTCCTTACACAAACCCTTACTATATCCTAAAACACTCTCCTCTCACTCTTACAAGTTTTTCGACCTCAAATGCGTTGGCAAAAGAATCTCAAAAAAGTTGGCAAGAGAAAATTTAAGTGATCCTCCACGAAATGACACATTTGAACCTACTCCCATGCATATGTGTGCATAGATGCCCAAAACTAGTGGTTGGGCGGCGGCTGCTCACGATTCGTATGCCTAGGCTCCCAAAGCTGGCACCCTGGCAACCAAAAAACTGACGCTGGGAGCTTTGAATTGGCGCCTAGGAGGTTGTTTCTCTGGCTTCAAGAGCCTAGACACCCCAGATCAAGCGCATTGCATTGGTTCAAGCTCTCCTTTTAATTGTGTTGAACCTCTAAGATCCTCTAAGATTACTTCACTCCTGTTTCTGAAAAAATGCAACCAATTCACCTTTCACAAGCATAAAACTGGCATAAATAATAAGGGTCTATTTGGGGCAACTTTTTTGGTGCGGTGGCGTTTTGAAAACACACCTTTTAAAAACGCACCTAACCTGTTTGGATAAACTGTTTTTTGGCAGCTTATGCGTTTTGAAAATGCTGAAAGCAGCGTTTTCATACCGCACCTATTTAGGTGCGGTGGCAGCTTTCTGACAGCGGTCTGGCTTTTCTTTTCCAAAAAAAATAAAAAAAATAAAAAATTTATAATAGTCACCGCACCTAGTTTATCAGCAGATTATTTTTAATCAACTTATCAGCAGATTATTCAATAAGTTGCAGCTCCCCCAAACAGACCATAAATTAAACAATTAATTTATATCACACCACATTACATTTTTACTTCACATCATATACACATACATTCGCACGCATTCGCACTCTTGGCTTCCCTCAAGTTTGCACACTGTGGCACTCGTCTGATCTGTCCTTTCTCCTCACACTCAATTCATCTCCTCCCCCTCCACCCC